TGTGTGTGTGTGTGTGTGTGTGTGTGTGTGTGTGTGTGTGTGTGTGTTGTTCCGTGAAATATTTGCATAATAACTTATTAGTTTGCTAATGGTTTCTATTTAAAAAAACATTTACATTTACAATGTTTTACATTTTTATAATATTATCAACTACAAAAAATGGTTTTCCGTGAATAGATTAACAGATTATCGTAGTTTAAAAATAATTTGAAAAATAATTCAACTTCGTTAATGTACAATTTCGTAATACAATACATTATTTATCAGCAGTCCAGCTCAATTTCGGTGCCGCGACGACGTTTACAATTGCTTGTCAATTGTCATGAATCATAATGCCCGCAGGTACACATTCGTCGAGACAGTCTAGGTTATGATGACCATACGTCCCGTTTAAAACGGGATTGTCCCTTTTTTTATCATTATATCTCGTTGTCCCGACAAACTTTAAACGGGACGCTTTTTGCCCCGTTTTTAGAATAGGGTCCCGTTTTAATCACGTTACTTCTATAAAAATTGTAAACCGAGAGCAAAAGAAAAAAAAATAAGACATGTTATATGGTATCTATATATGTAATACGAACTCATGTGTGAGACTTCTAAAGAAATCGATATTAAATACGAATAGCTTACCAATGTACAGTACAAAATCGAACATAGTCGTGCAATAACGTGTGTACATTGCAACGATCTTGTGTTATTAATGTTATAGCCACTATGTATTAGTTCTTTTTATTTAAATTGTTGTGAGTCGTTAGTGTTATCACTTGTATTGTTTTTTTAAAATGCCTAAAAAGAAATATACGTTCACTGTACCTTTGCAGATCAACTAATGCAATAATAGAAATAATATTATCAATCACAAATATTATATGGACGGACGAAAAAAATAGTTTTCTCGTACCAATTGTCAAAGCAATAATAATTCTTAAAAATAATTTTAAAAAATATTCCTGTAATGATTTTTATGATTTTTTGTTAACACAACCAAAACTATTAAATGCAATCAGTTCATCAAAAAAATATAATGTCAAAGAATGTAATGAAGAAAATTATGAACAATCGACTCAAATAATTCGAAATAATCAACTCAATAAAAATAAAGAATATTTTAAGTATTTTTTTTTTCAATCTCACAGCAAAAATATAATGCAAATCAATTTTTAATTAAAATATCAAACTAATTAAAAATTATTTTTATTGCATATAATATAGAAGTTAAAAAAAATGTTGACTTTTTTTTTTGAGAACATATTTGTCCCGTTTTTTTCTTTCATAAATATGGTCACCCTAGTCTAGGTGAGACTCTCGGCGAGAATTTAGGCTAGCACTCGGCTGCTATCGCGATGTCTCGGCAAATGTATACCACCGGCATAACAGTTATACGTGATAAGTGAGATTGTTGTCTCAAAAAAACAAATGTAAAAAAATGTCAAAAAAAAAAAAAACAAAAAATTAGTTTACAATTAAATGCATTTCTTACTCATAACTATAAGCAAAAATAAATAATAACAAGGCCGCCGGGGTGACACAAATGAATGTCCGATGCAGACATGTAATGATTTTGCGAAATTTCAGCCGAATTTGTGGACACCTAGTATTAATGACACACTTGTTGAACATTGCAGAACTTATAAATTATCTATAGTGTATAAGTACTAGATAAGACTCAGATAAAAATTAATTCTACCCGTTTAAATAGCATTAAAAACATTTGCAAACTTTTAAATGTATTGTATTTACATAAATGTTTGTTCTATATTTTATTTTATTTTAAAACGTCTGCAAAAAATGTACTTATGATACAGGGGCATATTTAGACTTGTGAGAAGACTGAGAAATTTAATTTAAACAAAATGTAACGATTGAACTAACAAAAATTAGAATTTTAGCAAATAATTAAAATTTTTATTGTTTAATCAAAACTCCTTTTGACAAAATTAATGAAATAAAATACCTACATGATAATAGAAAATTAACATAACAATAATGAAACAATCTATACTAAATTAAAATCTAATAATTTCTAATCTTTTTCTACAATAAATAATTATTCGATAATCAAGACGACCTTTGACAAAGGTTCTATTTAATATCGCACGACTAATATGACGCGATACCATCGCCACCGCCGTCACTGATTTATAATAAATGATGTTTTATTCGCGCGCCTATTAAGGACACATTCCAAAGTGACACATTTTTTACACTTCCAAAGTGGCATTAAATGTATACATATAATAATACTCATACTCAGTACTTAGAGTCGGAGGGAAGCAGAAAGACCAAAACCCATAAATATTTTTCAAAAATTGTAGTGCTGTCCAGCACCATTTATGTTAATTATAAACGCTTTCCACTCATATTGATCGATGAAAAATCGTTGTTAGAAAATATTCATTCATCTGATAATTCTGATATAATAATGTATTACACTTATTATTACCTATACACTTTTTCTATAATAAATAATTCTACCTAAAAATTATAGTAAATTAGGAAATTTCGTTTTCGCCATTAAAAAATTATCGCCTCTTTTCCTCTACCCTTAACCCGGCACTGCTTGTATACAATTATTTGATTTTTGTTTAATCAAATATTATTATTATTGCGGTTATTAATATTATTATAAATACTATATTATTATTTATTATATTTTATGTTTGTATCATTGTGAGTGTTTTGAAAATACAAACTATAATATGATATATTATGATACGATCATTTGAAAATAGGAATATGACTTCATAGAGTCAACGGCAAGCATAGGATAACGGAAAACTAATTTACGATTAAATTACGTAATTGATTACGATTAATTTATTATATTATATTACTTGTTAATCATTTAATATTGTTTTAAAGTAATCAGTAATCATTATTACATATGTGTAATCTTTAATAATTACCGCCAATAATTATTCATATATATATTTGTGTGTATGTATGCTATATACCTATGTGATACTATCTGAGCTCTCTGGTTGACAGAGAATCAATGTAGATTCCAAACTCTATTAGTTGGTAATGATGTCCTTTAACTATAATTTACAATAAAGTCCTTAATACTAATTAATTATTTATCCAGCAGTTTGAACATGTATTTTAGCATACATAAGTGTTATCGTTTTGAAGTAATATTATTTTTCATAGGCATTTTATAAAACAACTTGTGTTAATAAAAATATTTACGTAAGTTAATCGCAAGAAGTACAATGATATGTGCAATGTATAATCAATGTTAAAAAAAAAAATTTAAGAGTTTTTTAACATAATTACACTGAATATTAAATAACAAATTGAAAAAGTAAAAAAATATTAGAGGTGGAATTTTTCACGGACAATGAAGTACACATGGACTGTTAGTGTAATATAAATGTATTCAACCAATTAATTGATGCAATATATGAAGTTAAAAATATTTAAGAATATTCTTGAAAGCTATAAAAATAGGTTATTAAAAGTGTTAGTTAATATTTGAAGCTCTGATTAAAAATGTTTATCAGTTAAGTTATAAATGCATAACTTGATATATCCTTGCATACATGGAAGTCGATTTCGATTTAGCATATTTAAAATTTTGTGTAAATTTGTTATAAATAACTCGCATACTATTTAATACATTTTAAGATTTATACTTGTACTAATTGTTATATACCGTTAATATAAATACAAATATAGTTTTTTATTGTTATAATTAACAAAGGGGTTTTTCGTGTTTTTTTTTTAAATCTATTGAATTGATAACCAAATGAAATCAACAAAACGATTCATCATTTCTCGGTATTATTTAAGCAGCTTGATTACGTTGTATTATAATTCATTGCACATCTGTTCGTGGATTATTTAGTATTTGAGTACGCAACAAAACATATTTAAAATCACTAAAATAAAAGTCAAACACAATAAAATTGTCAATTGTTATTTTATTCATGTGCAATTAGAAAGAATACAAAAAAAAAATAAAATAATTGTTAATAATTGTACGTAGGAAAACAGACGAATAATGTTAAGTGAGTTTAAAAAAAAAAGTGCCGTTCATCATGACGTTAATTTTTATACAAATAAATTCGACAGGAAGAGAATGTAAATTTAACATTGAGTATACTATATGAATCCTTTGCTAGGGAGGAAAGCACGTGAACGGCGTTGGTTTATTTTTTTTTCAAATTTACGGCGAAAATAACCGGTAACGCTTTTGCGTGACCGGATCGAAACGGTTGGAAATTGAAACGCGAAAATCGGTCCTATAATATGCTGTAAATCGGTTGCATTGGCGCGAACAGCTCATAGCGCCGAGACAGCGGACATCCGTGTTTAATGGCGTACTTCATGCAGTCGAAGTTCTCGTACGCCATGGCCCGCGCACTGGTGTCCTCCTGCCACGGGCACCCGTGCTCGTGCGCGTACCTCATAATGTCCAAGTTGCCCGACATGGCCACCGTGCCCATCAGCAGCGACGTCCACGGACAACCGTTCTCGTGGAGAAACGCGACCGTTTCCAGGCGGTCGTTTATCACCGCGTCGTACATCAGCTCCGGGTTCCAGTGGTGCCGGCCGGTGCTCATCAGGAACTGCACGCACGCCGACCGCTTGTTGGTCACCGCCAAGCGGAACGTGTCCGGGTCCGTCGGGCACCCGTGGCCGTACGCAAACGCTAAGCATTCCACGTTGCCGAGGCGCGCGGCCACGTGGCACGTGTGCACGTTCCATGAGCAGCCCATCTCGTGGGCCGCGCGCAAGCATTCCAGGTGGCCGTGCTTGGCCGCCAAGAAGCACGTCTTCGTGTTCCGCGGGTTCGTCGACGGCCGCGTGCGCGTGAACAGTATCAGGCGGTAGCAGCACTTGCGCAGGCGCACCCTTGCCGCGCGCGAAACCGTCCTGTTGTACGATTTCCTAACCGTCTTGGAGCAGGCGGCGAACGCGAGCGTGACCAACGAGAACATTGCGCACCGTCGTGTGATGGCCGTTGCGATGTGTGTTGCACGTGCTGAGACTGATCTGCGGGCAAAAAAACCGATATCGTCAATCGATCCGCGCAATCCACCCGTAAACATCGGTAAAATTAGAATTCGTACAATACACGATTTGACTTCCCTATTATTTTTTCAAATTTTTGGTAAATATTTTATAAGTATACGATGTACACACGCAATGCTTTATTTTAATGAAATGGGCGGAAGCAACCAAAGATTCGGTTGGTATCTAAATTATTCCCGTGTTGAATATATTTGACCATATCCGTTCGACGCGACTCCGTTTAACGACGGCGTAAATAATGTCGTTTATTATTATGAATTATACCTTTTCATTTTATTTGACGGAATTCTCAACTGATGAAAATAATGAAAATATTACGTGAAATTATAAATTATTAAATTTAATTACGGATGAAAAATGTATTTTTAAGAATAATATTTGAAAAAATAAACTCAAGAATGTGAATAAATTCAGTACGTATCGAAAAGAAAAATAAAAAAAAAAAAAATTAGAAATTTATAATCAAAAACTATATTCAGAATATACCTTAATGACTGAAATATTTCCCGTTCCTCGTTCAAAACCTAGCTACAGAAAAACTATCTCGTTCTTAAAAAATTCTTAAAAAAATTCTTGGAAAAAAATTGACTAAAAACGTAAGACGACGCTAGTGGTTCAAATATTTATACGTTAAAATATTATTTCAACAGATAAATTGTATACGATAACGTTGACAAACATTTTTATAATAGGGATCCGTGAGGATACAATGGAGGACACAATAAACTGTACCACATGTGTTCACACATGCACACGCACGCCCATACACACACGCGCGCGCTGCTTCACACGCATACACGCACGCACGCGCGTGTACACACCGATAACACGGGCTCGCGAGCAATGACACAATTAATGTAAAAACACGTGAGAGGCTTCATAACAACAGCAGTAACAACTGATGTCCACTAACATCGTTAAATTACCGTGTGTAAACGCAGGGAGGACGAATGAGAACAGAATAAAAGACAGACGGGTGGGAGAATGTCAGATTGTCGAGAAATAAAGAATTCGAACGATTCGTGCACATGTTTATAGGCAAACCGGGAAATAAATCGATGCACTTACTTGAGATTCGCGTCCGGAACTCAGAATTCTGAACTTTGGTTATAGCCGTACAATAATGTGGTACGATGGACGTGACAACGAAAGGTGCGCAGCCGCGGTTGCCGAGAGAATAAAAACCGGAAGCAATGTAAACGTGTGCAACAACGAAACTACGGTCGTACGACTGACCTTTGTGCCAACATTTCGGCTGGAACGCGTTATGCAGTTGAGACCTGCGCACAACGGACGAGCCGTTTCGTTACGACGTACGACCCGTGATTAAAGTGGGAGACGAAGGAGGACGGATTCCCCCTTCTCAGTTAAAGTGATTATGCCGTTTCCTTTAATTCTAGTCTCCGGAGTTCGGAGGGACGTTAAACGGCGTTAATAACTATCACGTAAATTTCAAAAAATATTATGACGTTTTTAATTGGGCGATAAATGGAAAAAAAATTTGAGCGATCGCGCTGCGAAAAATCTTACGGAAGTATGGCTGACATTAGACAAAGTTGATCAACTTATATTAATTGTAATAGTAAAAATGAAATAATACACCAATATAATAGGCGTTAGGCACAAGACAAAATTATAATCCTAGAAAACAATGACAATATTAGGTTTACAATAAACGACAACAGGGCGTCCAATATATGTACATATAAAAAAGGAGTAAAAAAAAAAAAAAAAAATCGAAATTAATAAATAATATATAACGACGAGTGAATATACGATAACAATATTGAAAAATTATACATACAAATAATAATCGATGGAAATAATTAAATCTATTTGATCCGCGTATGATCGATGTTACCTTTATCGTTTAACCTCACAACCGAGTGACAGTGTAGCTCACCAGAAAATATGACCGCGATCCACGGAACACAAAGAAGATCCCTAACCGGGAGGTCGCAGGTGACGCACAACAAAAGTGTCACTGGGTCCCAAATCCGTACACTACTAATGGACGCAAGACGGTACTGCGTGTGACAACAACGCGTACCGTCCGGTACTAACCTAACCTAACAATGGATACGCGAACGTTCGCACAGCGAACCATTGTCCGACAGGCACAAGACTCGAAACCACGTTGCGCGCGCGCATAAAATTCGACTGCTACAAAAAAGAAAACCACCGCGGCAGGAGAAGACGGTCACCGTGTACCGGACGAAGATCGGCCGAAAAGTAAAGTTGCGGCATCCGAAAAAAAGCAATCCGGTTGCGCCAACGACGGTACCCGCGCGATAACGTTGTACGGCGTGTGCGGACGGGAAGTACGAGCAGTTATTCTTGTAAGTTTTTGAAACTTCTTATATTTTTTTCAAGCTCTTAGCTTAGTTCTTAGTTTAAGCCGATAACATATTTCATTGATCCGATTCGAACGAAAAATATTGATAAATGTATAGTTCGCACTTTTTCATTTATAACTTAATTTCTAATAGTGCGATTTTGATTATTTTTACAAAATCACGTTCTACACAACATTTCTGATGTTTTGGAGTTTACTAAAAGTTAATTGATGCATTAGAAATTTAGTTATGTTGCATAACAAATTTACTTATATTTTACACAGTTTAAATGGGCAACACCTGCTCGATATATTATTCACACACCGTCGTGCGGTTATTATTATTTTTTTTTTTCTTCGTTCGCGTATTTAATACTCATATAATTAAAATATTTCAAATTACTTCTAAAGGCTGAACAGCAAAAGTAATCTAAGATTTTACGTCTATAGTAAATGGTAAAAATGTACGTAGCTTTTAATTGTACCTATATTATAGGTTCTATAATATACCTTGGTTGTTACGCATTGTACCGTTGTTGTTGAAGCGTTGTAATTTAATAAAATAAATAATTTTTTACTATCTGTATTGTTTAATCATTAATTATTTATAAAATGTCAAATATTTATTATTTATGCATAATACATGTACAGTGGAGAGAAATCAAAGGCCCAAGGGACAAAATTAATCCAAGCCCTTCTCACACGAGGATTATGGCAGTCATAGTTATTTCACAGACTAAATGAAAATAATATATTTGTATAATACGTATGTCTAATACGAAACAAATGATTTGATGAGAAACCTCGATTTTAATCCGAATTCTCGTATAGCGTTATCTTGCACCATATTCGCGTACAATGTAAATATTAAAAATATGAATCGGCGGTATAAATGCACGTTAAGCCACTTCCGTCACTACTAATGCGGGTGTATTCTGACTCAGTCACACGTATAGACATTTCAACAAATACGTATAAAATGTGATTTATACATTTTAAATTACTTACTAAATTAATAAATAAATTACTATAGTATTTATAACTTGAAAACGAAATATGTCTAAATTTAATGTCGAACCTATAAAATAGAGATAAAATATCTGCAGTTTAAGTTTTAATACAATATTATTAATAATTTAGAAACACTAACTACGTACAGAAAATGTGACGTTTTATAGTAAAATAGGGAAAACTGTCAAGATGCAACCGAGAAAAAACTGATATCTTTATCTTTATGAATTAATTATTAATAACTGTATCTCTCGCTATCAACATACACACACACACACACACACACACACACACACACACACACAAACTCTCAGGCACGCACGAAAGACCGTATATGTGGAATGTTGACCGTTGCTAAAAAAAAAAAGGTAAAGAGAAAATTTGGTTTGACATCGAGGATTTTTGCTAAGGTGAAAACAATCCAAGCATCCCCGCTGTTTACCTTTATAGGAAATCGTTTTATCATATCATGCGTATTATTTGTGTTGGTATAATGTCTTCGCCTAGTTGTTCCATTAGACCGTTATTAATCCCAAGTACCTACTCTGACACAGTCTCACGTTTAGACATTTCTTAACAAAGAACATACTATATATACTCGTATATCTGAGTTCGAATATGTTTGTATAAAATGGTTCATACCCAAAATGCCACACGCATACGTGTATGTGTATGGCATTTTGGGTATGTACCATTTTATACAAACATATTATATTCGAACTCAGTTATATATATATATATATATATGCACATACGTGTATGTGTGTGTATATGTATACATATGTATTATGTATTTATGTATTTACTTATATATCTTATAAATATTTTTATGTATATTTATATGTATTTTAATAAGTTATTGATTTAAATAAAATTAACAAACGCTTACATGATTTTAAGAAAAAATCATTTTTTATATTGCGATTATAACAAACATTAATTTTTTTTTAGAGTTTTTCTCATAGATTAAATTACTTAAGGATGCATTATGAAGTTTCACCATGGGTGCAATATTCGGTTGCTATGGTTTTGTATACATTCTTACCTACTTATACAAATTATACACTTTAATTTTTAAGGTTGAGCAGAATGTAGCGTTTATATTTATATATATTTAGTTTTATAAATTTAATATTATCTCATCAAATTCCGTTACGAATTGGAGTAATTTTCCAATACGATGTTCAAATACTGGTGCTCCGTCATATCATGCTTACCGGCATGCCATGCGTCACGCCTACAGCCGAACACGGAAATAGCAGGCTATAGCTGCGTACTGGCCGCGTCACAGCATTGTACGGTTTCGTACCTAAAAGTCAAAACTTTTTATCGTACAGATCCATTTCGGTTATTACGATGTTTATTATTCACATACCTGTGCAATACACATATTGGCGTGAACTTAATATCTTACTTAATATAAGAAGAGAAAAATCTCGGGATATAAGCAAGCCCAGATTAAGGGGGGGCACGGTCCTGAGGTCCATTGATTTTGGGGGCTCATCATTATTCCCAAAATATATATTTTTTTAACGTGTTGAAAACAGTTTTATATATATATTGTGTATAATACCTAAATTATTACATTAATATTATATATATATATATATATATATATATATATATATATATATTTTAGTATAAACTTATACAATAAATAATAACATACAGTCCTTAATACGTAGTGATATAATTATTTTTAATTTCAAGTTGAAAGGGGGTCAACTAAGTGTATGGTGTCCCGGGGCCCAATTGATTCAAATCCGGGATTTATTATTTTTTATTAATTCATTACGTTTTATTACGTCAGTATTAACCTAGCATTAACGGAAAACTGTGGTACTCATAAACGGTGTTATTAATACAAATAAATTTGCTGTAGCTCAAGATTTCGGTGTGAATAAATATTAATATTATTGAATATCTATAATACGTTAGCAAACCGTCAAACGACGTGATTATACTGTTTTTTTTAACAGTGTTGGGTAATTTATAATTTGATTAATTATTAAAGATTACGATTACATTTTGTAGTTATTAATCACAAGACAAATTAATGAAATCGATAATTAAAATATCACATTATTTGAAATCATTAAAATAATGATGTGTTCATAGTTTTGATCACGATTAAAAAATATATTAATTTGCAATCAAAACTAATTTTAATGATAGATTATACGAGTATTTCAATAACCGGTTTCAAGCTAAACAAAAGCTATATTTTGAGATAACAGTATAATGAATATACAATTATTGACCGTTGTAATATATTCTGTATGTGCTTTACTTGTTTGTTATAAGTAGGAAATTGTAAACAAAACAAAACAAATAAGTAGTAGATTAAACAATAATGTATATAATTATTATACCATATATTATAGAAAAACTATAACAATTAACCATAAAAAAAATAGTCCGAGTTGTTGTATTCGTGATTCACCGTGCCGGTTGACTCGACTGACCGCACGGTCTGCTTGGTACTCGAACTTTGCACTCGCGATTGCTACGTCTTGTATCGCATGGGTGATGTTTGTTTAATTTCTGATCCTAAAATAAAGTAAATTTTTTTTTAAATGTCAGTGATCCAAAATCACCCATGAAAACTGTTCATTTTTTATTAACGAGGAACGAACGAATGTTACAGAAATAATACTTCGTTCGTATTTAGATGCGCAAAATTATATGAAAATATCGTCTATGTATGTTAGGAGTTTCGTGTATCAACTTTTAAATGGATAACAGGTTCAGATTAAATATTACGTTTGTAATTTTTAGAATTTATTAGTAGTTTTACCGATATGAGAGAAAGATTTAAAATTATGCTATATTCATCCAGCAAGCTTTTTATATTTGTTTTGATCTA